CAGTAGCCACCGTTGACACTTTTATTTCTCTGAACAGGAAGTACCCAACGCCACATTAAAACCTGCTTTTGAAAGCAGTTTCAATCCTATTTGGCCATCAGGCAAATGGCTGCGGGCGATGATTTGAAAAAACACGAGCCTTGCTCATGCAAGACAGAAGCATTCTGCAGCAACAGATCTTCAAAACTGTATGCAGAATTCTAAAAATTGGGGGGGGGATGCTTTATATTCTGTGGTGTTCTAATGTTCTGGAATATGGAACACAGACTGTATTTAAGCACTCTTTCTGGTCATCATAGATCAGGAGTCAGCATCCTTTTTCAGCCGTGGGCTGGACCACGTGGGTTCAGACCATGTGGTGGGCCGGACTATATATAGAGAGAGAAGTTTAAATGTTTATTTGATCATCCTTGAATCTTCTTGCCAAAAAACCTTAATTGTGAAACGTTTAAAATTTGACTGTCTAGTTTCTGCTGGCCCTTTCCATCTCTGGAGGGACAAAGGCAACAAACAACAGCCATATTTTCTGTACCACTCACTCCATTTTAATTACAACACAGCTGGCATCTTTCAGGTTCAAAGGCAATCTGTAGAATGCGGTGCTTCAAACCACTTAGCAGGAATGACTAGAAACAGTTTCTTCCTACCATCTGTAAAATCTCGTGTTTATTCACGCGCAGTTGGGGTTCCATCTTTTTTCAGATAGCTGGACTATATTTTGAAAAAAAAGAGGGGAAAAAAGAGAACAAATTCCTATGCCCCACAAATAACCCAGAGATGCATTTTAAATAAAAGCACACATTCTACTAATGTAAAAACACCAGGCAGGCCCCACATTTTAAATAAAAGGACACATGTAAAAACACGCTGATTCCCGGACCGTCCGTGGGCCGGATTAAGAAGGCAATTGGGCCGCATCTGGCCCCAGGGCCTTAGTTTGCCTATCCCTGCCATAGATTATAAGGAATTGCATATAGTGGTTTAGCAGGCGATGGGAGTTGGGTGAAAGTGCTGTAGCCCTTCTCTGCAGAGAATGTTCACAGGGCTAGTGGAAAAAACAAAACAAAACTTGGCAGGTTACTAACTTTTGAGAGCTTATTTGCAAAGCACTGCATTATAAAATAAGACACACCTGACAACCTTGGTGCTCGAAAGATTTCCCTTCAGCTAGAGAAGGACAAAACAAATATATTCACTGATCAGGGTCAACATCTCACAAACAATTTCACCATGTTATTAAATGATATCAAAGAGGTCTTCCAATGCTGGAAGCTAAAAGCTTGTCAATTAAACCCAAGTGTAGGAGGGGGGAAAGAGATTGCCCTTGCTTCAACTTTCTGAAGTGAGAAAGATGCTGATGTCATTAATTATAATAAAGTGCTGCTCAGCACCGTCAACTGCCCACCCAATCACTTATCTGGCCCCGCTAAAAGTAATGGGATTAAACTATAGTACTTCAGTTAACGGGCTTGTTGTAGAATGGGCCTGATTCTAATTCTGTCAACTTCGTGCAAACACTGATCCTACAATGTCATTCCAAAGCTTCCAAAGAGCTTAGCAATTTCTTCTGAGATAAATAAACATTGTTTGAATTTCAAAAATTTACACTGAATTTATTTAAAGAAGTACCATCATATTCGCATATGCAAAACAGAAGCAACAATGTGAGTATTTATTCAGAGAGATACCTCCCAAACATCTGTTAAAGAACTCAGGCTCTGATCCTACAAAATATTTGCTAGAATTGTAAAATGGGGGCCTCTCTCTGGGGGGGGGGGAATTGGGGGGCAGGGGAGGAAACAAGCAAGTAAACTCCAGTAGGAAGAATGATAAAAGAAAAAATAAAATGTAAACAGATCATTCTCTTGATACTAATGACTACCTTCTACATTTTCTCTATTTTGGTAATACCAGCCAGGATCCATGAGATGGCAGAGCTGCATATTTCGAATTGATTTCAGTTGTAATTGTGCCGTTTTATAAAAATATGCTAGTATGTTTTGAAATGAGTGCTATTTTATCACACCACTTGTCTAATTATATAACTTTTTCAAGAAACGAATCTGAAGGTTTTAAACTGTGACCCATTAAAAACATGCACAATTGTTTTTTTTAATATTCTGCTCCGTTTTTCTCTAGAACAAGAGTTGCCAAATTGTGGTCTACACGCTTTATTCAGGGGGTCTACAGAGCGCCTGTGGATTTGTGCTTGGAAGATGGCGCATCCATCGCATTAAATATTCAATTTGATTTTCAACTGTATTTTCCATTGCTTCTGTTATTTCTTATGTTGCATTTTACTATGTTAAAAATTGAATTCTGTGGAATTCAAATTGAAACGCAATAAAATGCAATATATAAGAAATAAAATAAGGAATAAGGTGCAAGTATAAATCGTACAGCTTCTAGCACGGCACAGCACAATTGCCACGACTGGCAGAAAAACCATTAAGCAATTTTCAAGTGATTCATAGGGGCAGGGGGAAGTCTGGGAACCACTGCCCTAAACGTACCCTTCACTGAATATATAGAGTGATATCTAACTAAATGACACTCAGGGTATATCCAATGAAAGCAGTTACGTTGCTGAAGGTCCTTTATTTCAATGCATCTACCTGCAGTAGAACAAATGCGGGATATCATCCATAATTATTAATATAGCAAGTCTAAAATCAACTTACAACCTGTTTCAACAAATTTATGTGTACACTTACATATATTCTTAATGAAGCATAAACTAGGTAAGCGGGCTACTGTTATATGCCAAATATTATGAGTCCCAGTTCCATCCAACTTCAAAACACCAAGTTCTTTATTAACAGTAGAGAGTTCGGAGAAGCAACAATGTTTTCATCACTGTAGCAAGAGGTAACAACAAAATGTCATTTACCTTGAGACCCACACAAACAGCAAAGCAATAATTTACTTTTCAAGTAGATGCTAGGACTTTTATCACTTTCTATGATAGCGAACTCTTATCTGTAGCCCAAACAGGGCCTCTGAGAAGCAAGAGGAAGTTTCTCAGGTTTGCAAAACTGCAAAAGAGGTATTTTGAGGGAAATAGGGGAATAGCTACAGAATGCTGAATGTCTGTTGCGGGATGGGGAGGAGAAAACCCAGAGGAGGGAAATGGAGTGGAGTGTCCTGGAAATTGGCTCAGCTGGCAAGTTGAAACACTGAACAGGAGCACTACACACTACAACATTTGACTGCAGGTCCCACAAGTAATTACCAAACACACATCACACACACACTTTTTGGGGGGCCTGTGTACTGATTTCCATTCATTAGGATCATTGTGGGGTGGGTTGTCAAGCAAATTACTAAAGCAACCAGTCACAAAGGAGAACAGGGGCTTTAATACAGTGAGAAAGAGGCAATTTGGGCATGTGCAACTTTGTCATCCAAAGCTGCATCTCCTGAAATTTCCTCTGGTGCACAACTACTAAAGGTACAAGAGCTCTGTTCTCTTTTGCATTTGGTCCTCCTACAAACTGCAGCAGACTAAGTTTTGAATATGCGCGTATTAAATCATTATTGGTTAATCCTACATATACGAGAAATATGAAATACCCCCTTTTTTAATGAGTTTTGGTATACTTCAAATTATTTTGCTCAAAATAGTCAGAAGCCACACCAACGTTGCACTTAACTTTTTCAAACTTGGTATTGCTTTTGGCTTACCCTGGGTTAAATTACCAAAAAACCCAAACAGACAGACAGACAAACCCACCACAGAACAAGGAAAGAGGGGAAGGAAGTGGAGTATCCAATCTTCCTTTGCTCAGTTCAGACAAATTACAAACCCTCAAATCACAAATACTAAAAGTGGAATTATACAGGCATGGAAAAGTCAAATGACTTAGTGTATTGCAATAGTTTACTTTTTAAAAGATGACATATTTAAAACTGGATGGTCATCGTTGGTTTGGAAGAAAACTACAAATGTACAAACATGTCATTTATCAAACGGTAAACAAACAAAACTTGAAATTATTTAAAATTAATATAATAAACCTAATCATGAAAACCTTTTAAAAAGCCGTACTCTATAAAGACTTTGGGCATTTGCTTCAGGCAGCTTTGCACCGGAACTTTTCCTACTATTTATGAGAAGTATTCTGAGTATTAAGTATTATTATTTCCAAAAGCTATTCGGTGTCGAAGCCTCATCGAATTGAATGCCTTGCATTCAGAGGCTTATTGCTGAGTCACCCTTAACGCAGCTCTTGAAGGGGGAAATTTTTAAAAAACCGCGATAGCAATAGATAGATAAATATTCAAGCGTTTTTAAACATACGGAGAATCCGACTCTTCCCCCCTCTTGTCCCCCTTTAAATGATAGTTGAGACATATGAAACACACATATATATATTATGGCGACGCGCCTCTTTCGCATCGGAGCGCGAAAGGACGATCGAGAGCCTTCGCCCTACTTCTACCTATTTAAAGCTTGCTCTTTACAAATTCCTCTCTCAAGTGTCACCGGGTCCCAGCCCTGCTTGGAAACTGAGCAGCGCGTCCCTACGATCTCCGGGCGAGGCCAGCGACATCGATACTTGGGGATGCGGTTACCGCGCGTCCCGCCCTCGCGGCTTCCCCTCGGCCCAGCAGCCTCTGGGTTGCCTGCGCCCGCGAGGGCACGGCGCTCTTCAGACGGTCGCCGCCGCCACGATGCGGGTCTGTGTTGCAAGCATCGGCGGGGGAAGGTCCGGGTTTGGGGCGTGTTGCAAAACCACCTGCCCAGGCAGGATCTGCTCTCGGGGTGTGTGTCCTACTCGGGAGGGAGGGTGGAATAAAGAGAGAGAGAGAGAGAGAGATGGGTGGCGACGCGCTGGTCACGCTTCTGACAGCATCCCCACGACGCGGGAGGGAGCCGGGAAAAAACCAGAAGCCCTGACACGCGTTTGGCCATCCAAATCCCGTGTGCCTGCTCGGGGCTGCAGCCGCCCCTGATGCAAATCGTAGAGAAAAGTCGCGATTGCACCCACCGGGCCACCCTAGCAGATGCGAGCGGCGGCGGCGCAAACCACGCGCAAAGGAGTCGCCCTCCATTCCCTCCCCCCGCCATTCACACAAAACCCCTTCTCCGGCACATTCACTCCAGCATCACTGCTTGACGCATTGCAGGTACGAGGCCGCCAATCCGGGCGCCCGGCTCTTGCCCGCCAACCATTGCAGGGTCCCTTCGGCCAATCGGAGAGCTCCTCACAAAACCTCCGGCGAAGACGCCTCGGCAGATCCGGAGCGTTAAGGGGCTGGGCCAAGAGATGGAACGCGCTTGGTAACCCTCCGCGAGGAGATGTAATCCCTCCCCGATTAATTCGCATGCAAGCGCTTCTCCGCTCTTGCTCCAGCTGCCCGGGGCTGGGCTCGTCGTCGTCGGAGGCAGGCGCTGTGCGCGCCTCGCTTTGGGGATTCGTTGCACGGCTGCTGCTGAGCGCGCGCCTCGCCTCGCCTTCCAAGCCGCTCCTGCTCCAGCTCAGGCGCTTTTGCACAGCACAGATCTGGTCCTGGGGAGCTAACGGCACGGCGGGCTCCTTTGTGCGCATCTGAAGTTGAAACGGGCTTTTTACAACCGTTTCAAATGCGGCGCTTGGTTTTTTTGTGTGTGTTTTTTTTTTGCAGCGACAGAGCAGCAGAAAATTGGGGGGTCGTATTGTAAAAGAGAAAGAAATAAAAGGGGGGGAAACACAAGACTTCCTTTCCTGCAGATCCATTTTAAAACTCTGCAGCAAGCTTTCTTTTCTTTGGATGCCTATTGGAGATGTTTAAGGGAGGTTTGGGTTCCTGCAACCGTTTGGGTCTCCTGGGGGGAAAGCGGAGAAGAAAAGTGTTGACCCCCATCCCCCTCGAGCGAAGAATGGCCCCTTATTCCCAGACCTCATTGCTCCTTGAAATATAATGGGTGCCCCACAGCTCCTTCAGCCTGCCTAGGATTAGCATTTGGGACCCAGGTTTCATCTCCTTCGTTTCAGCCTTATAAAAACCCAATCACACCGGAAAGGACGGATAGGGAGGAGATGTGTTTGGGAAATTACTTGTTTGTGAATTTTGTATTCCACCTTTTAGCCTCATGGTGCATAGGGCAAATGATAGTGCAATAAAACAACAGTATTTCAAAAGCAAATCAGGTACCAATTAATAAAAAATAATAGTTTTCCTCCTAAACCACCGCCCCCTTTCTCAGCTACCAGGTTAATAGTAAATTAACCATCCAGAGGAAGTAATTGAAATGGGACAGTGGCGCTGGAGTGAAAGTTGAGTATTTATTATTAAGTAAGGAAATAACTCCCTTCTTGCTTATTCTCATGTGTGGGGTCCTGGACTTGTGCTGCAAGCTGCTGCCCTGGGGGCACCAGTGTCCACGTATGGCATGTATGTGTGTGGCCTGTGAACACTAAGGTACAAGTTAAAGCGTATCAAGTGCTGCAGATTCTACCACAGAATGGGACATCCAAACAAGTACGCTTTAGTTCTGGCATCGCCCGTATAGTTCCCTCCAGATGTTGGACGGCCTTGCTGGTGCTGCCACTCGTGGCTGCCGAGTTGGCATTGACCCATGACAGGGCCTTTTTAGTGATGGCTCCCTGTTTGTACAATGCCCTCCCTCATGAGGTGTGCCTCCCTTGGTATTGACAGGAATAATCTTAAAACATTCTTGTTTATCCAAGGCATTTGATGGCTGAACTATGATACTCTTGGCAACCCTGAAATCACAGTTTGAGAGCATGTTTTTAGATTTATTCATTTTTTTCATGTTATCGATGTGTTAAATAATAGTGATGCTTGACCTTTGGCCACGCTGGCTGGGGCTGATGGGAGTTGGAGTCCAACAAGACTGGAGGGCACTATGTTAGCTACTATTGAAACCCATGAGATTGAGGGTGATTCACGTCATTAGCAATAATCAAATAAAAGAAAAATACTCAAAGATGTTTTCGGACTGTAGTTTTATTCTCTACAGTGGCCCCTAAAAAGCTTCTTTTTTAAAAAAAATGCCTATAAAATAATAATAATAATAATAATAATTTTTTAGTTATACTCCGCCCTCCCCAGCCAAGGCCGGGCTCAGAGCGGCTTACAAGCAATAATAAAAACAAGATGAATGATTACAACTTAAAAACAAAAATAAAATACAACATTAAAATAATGGAACATTAAAATATTAAAATGTAGCCTCATCGCAGGAGGAGAAGGAAAAGAAAAAAGAGAGGGAGGGAGGGAATCAAATTGGCTCCAAGCCAAAGGCCAGGTGGAACAACTCTGTCTTACAGGCCCTGCGGAAAGAAATCAGATCCTGCAGGGCCCTGGTCTCATGAGGCACAGCGTTCCACCAGGCCAGAGCCAGAGTTGAAAAGGCCCTGGCTCTGGTTGAAGCCAATCTAACTTCCTTAGGGCCTAGGACCACTAGGGTGTTGTTATTTATGGACCTTGAGGCTCTCCGTGGGGCATACCAGGAGAGGCAGTCCCGTAGGTACGAGGGTCCTAGGCCGTGAAGGGCTTTAAAGGTCAAAAGCAGCACCTTAAATCTGACCCTGTACTCCACCGGGAGCCAGTGCAGCTTGAAAAGCACTGGGTGAATATGGTCCCATGGCAGAGACCCCGTGAGGAGCCTCGCTGCAGCATTCTGTACCCGCTGGAGTTTCTGGGATAGCTTCAAGGGCAGCCCCACGTAGAGCGAATTACAGTAGTCAAGCCTGGAGATGACCGTCGCATGGATCACTGTGGCCAGGTCGGAGCGGGAAAGGTAAGGGACCAACTGCTTGATGCGGCGAAGGTGGAAAAATGTCGCCTTGGCTGTTGCTGTAACTTGCGCTTCCATGGAAAGGGAGGCGTCAAGGATTACACCCAAACTCTTAACAGAAGGCAATGGTACTAATTGGGCCCCCGCAAGAGAAGGGAGTTGGTCTCTCATCCCCATGCCATCCTGACCTAGCCATAGGACCTCTGTCTTCGAAGGATTTAGTTTCAATCGGCTCCCACGAAACCATCCAGCTACAGCTTCCAAGCATCTGGTCAGTGTGTTCGGGGCTGAGTCGGTGTGGCCATCCATCAGCAGATAGAGCTGAGTGTCATCAGCATATTGGTGACAGCCCAGCCCAAAGCTCCGGATAATCTGGGCAAGGGGGCGCATAAAGATGTTAAAAAGCATCGGGGAGAGAATTGCGCCCTGTGGCACTCCACACACCAAGGAGTGGCGCGACGACATTTCCCTCCCTAGTGCCACCCTCTGTCCCCGACCAGAGATAAAAGAGCACAACCAGTTATGGGCTATGCCCTGTATCCCCACGTCTGCGAGGCGGTGGTCCAGAAGATCATGATCGACCATGTCAAAGGCTGCTGACAAATCTAAAAGGATCAGCAGTCCTGACCCGCCTCGATCCAGTTGTCTACGGAGATCATCTGTTAGGGCAACCAGAGCCGTCTCCGTCCCAAAACCAGGACGGAAACCGGACTGAAATGGATCTAATGCCGATGTTTCCTCCAGAAACCTACCAAGCTGTTCAGCAACCGCTCTCTCAATTACCTTACCCAGGTATGGAAGATTTGAAACTGGGCGGTAATTGGATAGGTCTAAGGGATCTAATGAAGTTTTCTTTAAGAGTGGACACACCACTGCTTCCTTCAGTTCCCCTGGGAATGTCCCCGTGTCAAGGGACAAATTGATAATTTCAACCAGGGGGGTCCGCGCAACATCTGGACACTCCCTAATCAGCCAAGACGGGCACGGATCAAGGAGGCAGGTGGTGGGCCTACCAACTTGGAGGAATCTATCCACATCAGTAGGGAGTATCCGATCGAAATGGTCCAACACTGGACCTGAAGTCAGTCGAGGGGTCTCCAGTTCAGTCACTGTATCTAAATTGGCAGGGAGGTCACGGCGGAGCAACAGGACTTTCTCCACAAAAAAGCTCGCGAATGCCTCACAGCTGTGGGTCAAATTTGTGCTTAAATTTGGTTGTCCTCCTAAGGACGTTATTGACCTAATTATTCTAAAAAGTTGTGCCGGGCGCGAGCTAGCGGATGCAATGGAAGCTGCAAAGTAAGATTTCTTAGCAGCTTTCATAGCCATCTCATAGGCTTTCATAAGCATCCTATAAGATGTTCTTGAGGCTCCGTCACGAGTCCGTCGCCATACTCGCTCTAGCCGTCTGAGATCCCGCTTCATTTTCCGGAGCTCCTCAGTAAACCAAGGGGCCCGGTTTCGACGGGGTCGCAGAGGGCGCTTAGGCACGATCTCATCAATGGCTGCCAAGAGCCGGTTATTCCAGTCCTCAACAAGGTCATCTAATGAGTCGCCAGGAGGAGCAGGGTTCCGCAAGGCTTGTCGGAATCTATCAGGATCCATCAGTTTTTGCGGACGAGCCCAAATAGGTTCGCCACCCGAGCCGGGGAGGAGCGGGAAGTCAATCTTGGCTTTCAGAGCGTAGTGATCAGACCATGGCACTTCCACAGCGGGGAGCATGATCACATCTATGCCAGCCCCAAAGATCAGATCCAGCGTGTGGCCTGCTTGATGAGTGGGGCCCAAAACAAACTGGGAGAGCCCTAGTGTTGCCATGGAAGTCACTAGGTCCAGAGCCTGTGAGGAGGGAGCGGCATCGGCATGGACGTTGAAGTCTCCCAAAACCAGTAGGTTTGGGAACTCCAAGGCCCAGCCCGCCACCACCTCCAGCAGGTCTGACAGGGTGGCTGCAGGTGTGCTGGGTGGTCGGTACACCAGCCAGACAGCCAAGCTCTCCTTGGTGCCCCACACGAGACCAACACATTCAATGCCGGAGATCGCCGGTGATGGCAGAGCTCTGAAAGAGCAATCCTCCCAGAATAACAACGCTACTCCTCCCCCCCGACCCACAGTCCGCGATTGATGGAGGACAGAGAAACCTGGGGGTGTTATCTCATGTAGGGAGACTACTTCGCCTTCCCGTACCCAGGTCTCCGTCACGCAAGCCAGGTCAACCCCCTGCGAGACAAAAAAGTCACGCATGGTGGCGGTTTTGTTGCCTATGGACCTGGCATTGCACAGCACCAATGACGGAGGTGTGTAATAGAGTAATTAAAGATCTAAGCATATTGGGAATTTAAAAATAAAACAGATCTGTAGCACCTTTTGTTTCTGTTGTTGATCGCTGAGCTTTCTTGTTTCTGGACTGGTATGATTAGCACAGTCTTTCGGGGTATATATGATAAAATGATAATGACCAACCAGCAACTTAAAGTAGTACAATGCAGGAAAAGATTTAGCACTTTGGTCTACTGGTTTCTTAACTCGACCTAGTTCTCTCAGAATAATATTGAGGATACAAAATCTAAAAGTACAAAGTCTAAAGTCAGGTACCTGCGGTCTGATAATAAAGATTTTTTATTACCTTCCTGGAAGCCATGAACATGAACCAGTGAGATAGATAGATAGATCTATCAGTGATATACCATATTTTTCTGTGTATAACACGCCCCCTATTTTTTGGGACTCCAAATTAAGAAAATGGGGGGAGGTTGCCCAGAGTTGTTAAGCTTTCTTTGGGGGGAAATTGCCCAGGGTTGTTGA